GTGGCTCACCTCTGTAGTACCACCCCTTTGGGAGGCCAAGGCAGGTGGATTACGAGATCAGGGGTTCAAGACCAGCCTGGCCAACATGGTGAAACTTCGTCTCTACTAAAAATGCAAAAATTAGCCAGGTATGGTGGCAGGTGCCTGTAATCCTAGCTACTCAGGAGGCTGAGGCAGGAGAATCACTTGAACCCAGGAGACAGAGGTTGCAGTGAGCCAAGAGCACGCCACCACACTCCAGTCTGGGCGACACAGCGAGAATCTGTCTCAAAAAAAAAAGAAAGAGAATCTCAGAAACAGACCAGCCATAGTGGCTCACACTTGTAATCCCACCACTTTGGGAGTCTGAGGCAGAAAGATGCTTGAGCTCAAGCCAGGAGTTCAATACCAGTCTGGGCAACATAGTGAGACCTCTTCTCTACAAAACAAAACAAACAAAAACAATTAGCCAGGCCTGGTGGCATAACACCTGTAGTCCCTAGCAACTCAGTAGATTGAGACAGGAGAATTGCTTAAGCCTGGGAGGTCGAGGCTACGGTGAGATGTGATCATACCATTGTACTCCAGCGACAGAGTGAGACACCCTCTCAAAAAAAAAAAAAAAAAAAGAATTTCAGAAACATATTGAATGGAAAAAATTGCAAAAGAAAGAATAATGTAGGAAGAATCTACTTATACGCAGTTTAGAAATAAGCAAAACTATACAATTTAGAGTTTGTAGTATCTAGCTTCTTCCAAGATGGCACCTGAATATCCCTGCCTCTTCGTATTCACGCCCTTGTGTGTTTTCCTCCTACACTGAACCACAGTTGTTCTGTGTGACTAATGACAAATTGCAGCAATGGAATGTTTCTTTCCCTCCCTTCTTTTCTCTCTTTCTTTCTTTTCTTGACAGGGTCTTGCTGTTGCCAAGGCTGTGGTGCAGGGGCACAGTCACGGCTCACTGCAGCCTTGACCTCCTTGGCCCAAGCAATCCTCCCACCTCAGCCTCCCAAGTAGCTTGGGATTACTGGTGCCCGCCACCACATCTGGCTAATTTTTATATTTTTTTAGTAGAGATGGGGTTTCACCCAGTTGGTCAGGCTGGTCTTGAACTCCTGACCTGGTGATCCACCCACCTCGGCCTCCCAAAG